AATAGTATCAAATAACAAAGCCTCTTAGTAGTTTATATACTTCTTAACTAAGATGCTCTTCAATATCATACAGTTATGCACACTGTGCAGATGTAAGACAACATGAGTTATCCATACGAGGGCAAACAGTTGGCCTTAGTGGGTCTTCCAGTTCTGATGCTTCACTCCATAGTCATCCTCAGACAAACTGGCCAGATATATAGACATGTAGATATGTTTATATATTTCATATGCAAGAAAATGCCTGCATAAACCCAGCCATGACTAGTTCCTTTTTAAACAACATTGTCACCTGAAAAGAAAATCTAAAAATCGCTGAAACGTTATAAATACTTACATTTATGTCATCCCAGTAGGAACTGGTATATGGAACCACAGCATGCAGCCGGAGACAAGGCAGACCAAGAAGTATGAATATGTATTCTGAGAATTACACAGTCCTACCAGACAGGACAGTAAGGTTTGTGAACTGACTTTTCTCTATAGATGTCAAGTTATGCCGCACCAGGGGTGGACTGACAATTCGAGCACGCGGGCAGTGCCCGAGGGCCCGGGGTCAGTAGGGGGCCCCATGAAATGCCCCTGGTACCTTTTTTATAGGCGTTTTTGAGTGTGGGCAAGGACACAGGGGCCCCATGATCCCTTATTGCCCGGGGGCCCCATGAGTTGTCAGTCCGCCCCTGTGCCGCACTGTTACTGCTTGGTAAGCAGTAGAAGCAGACTGACAAGGTCATCCTGCTACTCATTCTGCTTTCTCCTGACAGCATGTTCCCTGTCAGCACATGTGCAATGCAACGTGCCTGATTGGCTCCTAGTGTTGCCCCTCCCAGTGCTGTACAAGGGGATACAAGAGACTGATACCAAGCTAGATTTAATTGTCATACTACTTAGTCTAAGAATACAGTAATAATTTTTAATAAATACATAATTGTATTTTTGTATCTGCCTAGTGGTCAGTGTTCATGTTATATATATATATATATATATACACACCTAACTCTTTTGTATCTTTTAATAAAAGTGCGGTATAGTCAAGACATGTCCTTTAAGTATGCAAAGCAAGTTTACTGATATTAGCAAAATTACACATTCGGAAATGAATTCCAGGTGATCCAATATTTGTTGGCTTAGTTTACCATGCAAATAGAGCATCGCAGCTCATTAACATTCCCCCTAATTACCGTTTTTTCAATTTTATGAGCCAAGAAAGATCTCCAATTCTGTATAGCCTCTTCAAATTTGCATATCATATCAAAAAATTCTTCCACTTAGCGATACGAAGTGTACAGAATCAACAACAAAACACAGAACCCCTCTGGTAAACTGTCTTGCGATGGCTATTATTCCTCTTGGTAAATGGCCATTTTGCGTATGTCTTTCCAAGTTTTTGTCAGTTGTTAATGAGCTCCTCAGTGTTTGCTTTGTCAACAAGCGCTGATTAAAATTTCAGCAGCATCAGCAGTAATCAGGGTACGCAGATTAACAGAAACTCTCTTAGATAAGGGTCTGTCACAATTCAGACTAGAGCTGTGTTTTCACTTGATTGCCTGAAGAATACAGCAGAATAGCACATTCAGGTTCATAGAAACTTTGGGATCTGTGCGTTTATTGTGCATTGAGCCCCGGTTGATGATAAAGACAAAGTAACTGCTCCTTTGTGAAAGGCCTCCTTCAAATTTCATCAAGCATCTGGCTATTGTGCTCAATAAACAAGGCTAAATTATGTGTAAACCCTAAATATGAATGTCTCATTTGCTCTTGTTTGGTCTGTTAAATCATTGAAAGTGTTTTATTATATCTATTCACTAAGTGCAAAAATTACCTGTTTATCCTTCCAGAAACCTTGCGAATAGTGATGAACTCTGGCGGGTTCGGAAATTGAAAAATGACAGATAGACCTGATTGGAATGCCCATGTGAACGGAGCCTAAAGGATAGCTGGGGAAGTAATGACTTGTCTACAACTGGCAAAGAGACTAGGAAGTTAATAGATCACATGTAGAGATGAGCTTGAGTGTTCAGAGTCTGAACCTGCCTGAACTTTTTTGGTGGGAAGCTATGAAAGCCGACAGTCAATCATAGGCGGTGGAGGCAGTGGCACATATACATGCCCCTTGCATATGTGCTGCAGAGTGGGGTATGCCTCCATCACCTATGAATGGCTGTGGCTTCTGAACCATTACGATTGGCTTTTGTCTCAAATAAAATTGGACTTTACTATGAAGCTGTAGGTAACACTGCAGAAATTACTTATGTTATTTCATTTGTATGTTTGTGTGCTTGCAGGTGCGAACTGACCATTTGGAAACTCAGGCACTGCCTGAGGGCCCAGGTTCAGTAGGGGGCCCCATGGGATGCCCCTGGTACCATTTTCATAGGCTTTTTTGAGTTTGGGCAAGGACACAGGGGTCCCATGATCCCCTATTGCCCAGGGGGCCCCATGAATTGTCAGTCCGCCCCTGTGTGCACGTTAATTCAAAGGCAAAAAAAAAAACAATACCAACATTAACCACTTGCCCTCCTGAGGATTTACCCCCCTTCCTGACCAGGCCATTTTGTGTGTTACGGCGCTGCATTACTTTAACTGACAATTGCACAGTCATGCAACGCTGCACCCAAAATTACATTTATGTTCTTTTTGTTCCCACGAATTGAGCTTTCTTTCGGTGGTATTTTATCACCTCTGCTCTCTTTATTTTTTGCACTATAGAAAAATAAATTGAAAAAAAAAAAAAAATATTTTTTACTTTTTGCTATTAAATATGTCCAGTAAAAAAATGTTACAATTCAAATTTTGTCATAAATGTAGAATAAAATGTATTCTGCTACATGTCTTTGCTAAAAAAAAATCCCAATACGTGTAAATTAATTGGTTTACGTGAAAGTTATGGCGTTTACAAATGGCGGTATAGATACTTGGATTTTTTTTTTTACTAATAATGGTGGCGATCAGCGACTTATAACGGGACTGTGGGACTGCGGCGGGCATTCTGACACTGGGGGGAACTGACTTGGTGTCACTGACATCCCCAGTGACACCAACACAGTGATCAGTGCTAAAAAAAAGCGGTGGCGGTGCGGGTAGGGCTCGCGTAGGCCCCCTAATCGGAAATGCAAAATCACATATATATACGTGATTTTGCGCACCCCTGCCACCCTGTAACAGTATATCTGCTATAGGGCAGCAGGGATGTGGTTAAGCCCACAATCCATGGACATAAATGGGAATAAGACAGCAATCTTTTCATTTCCTCCCAAAAAAGTGTGTGGCACCTTTTAACCAGCTATGGACACTGAGTGTGCTGCACATGTCCAACAAACCCCATTGAAGTACACAAGGTGACAGTAGCATGCTCTTTCTTTCTGCCCCACTGCCGCTCCTCCTCAACTTGTTGACAAAATGACAGCCAGGAGTTGCTGTGTAAATATAGCAACTGTAATAGCGGCTGCTATAAAAAAATACACAGTGTTTATAAACATTGTTCACAGTGGGATAGAGATATACAAGGTTATATTGTTGCTTTTGTATTTATTCTGTATGCTTCATCTGCAGATCAAAAGGATGAGCTTCAATCTGCATAGGATGTTAGTTAAATAAACCTGTCCATTCAGCTGAAAGAGCATTTGTAAGGTCATATATATGAATGCTGGATTAGAAAACCTGGCTCGGTGTTCCAGAAGTGTTGAGTAGGTTTGAGGTCAGGGCTTTGTGCAGATCATTTGGGTTCTTCCACACCATACCTGTCAAACCATGTCTTTGTAGAGCTGGCTTTGTGGACAGGGCCACAGTGAGGCTAAAACAGAAAACAGTCCCATAACACCATTTTTTCTAAAATGTCCTGGAGCATTAATGGTATCCTTCATTGGAATAACAATAATTTGCAGTAGTCTCTATATGGTTTGGCCACAGAGTAGCTAGGAGAGCAAGGTGACAATATATTTCTGGTGATAGAAGGTATATGCACATTCATCATTCCTTCATACCCTCACTGCTCTGTTGAGCTACTGAGAGCAAAAAAATTACCCAGTACCTCTGGTATGGAAGAACATGGAGAATGGCCTCAGACCTTACAAAGAGATTCCTTCTTTGCTCCTAGCACATGAATATGACTAGGGCATAACAGATGTCATCGGTCACTGACCATACAGACTACTAAGCCCCCTTTCAAGTCTATCTAGAATGAACAGACCAACACCTTTTCGGATCAAAAGTTTGGTCATAGTGGCCATTTTAGTCACAAACAACCAAAATATAAAACATTTCTTAAAATAGAAACAATAAATGATAATAACACTAACAATAAAGGTTGTTGATCTTCAGAGGCACAAAAGAACAACGTACATTTTGTATCTGCTTAACCACTTAAAGGTTCCCAGCCATCCTGCACCGACTCAGGGACAATCCTGACTCTTCCCAGATACCTCTATATCTCAAATTTCAAGTTAATCTGCCAATAACTGGTTTTAAACAGAGGACCCCATATCATATCACTGTAAATGTAGCATCTGAAGACCCCAATCGCCAGACCACCATGACTGACAGCTAGCACTGATCCATAACATAGGGTGGGATAGTGGGAAGTTTCTTCTTCATCTGCTAATGTCCAACTCTTTGACAAGCCCCAGAGCTCCTCCTTAACCTCAATCAAGCCAATCATAGTAATTAACCTCACATCTCCTGATTCTATAGTTAACCCTCCTTGATTCACCCGTTCTAACAATCATGCCTGCCCATCACCTATTTTTTTTTTTTTGCTTTGGGCCTAACTGAAAAGAAGGAAAGATCAAATTGTGCTGCTGGGGGTAGAAGGGCAATAAACCAAACCTGTTAATTTGTCATGCAAGAACAAAGCACAGGTTTCCTCCAAAGAACACCTAAAAACCAAAACTTTTTTAGTTTTGGATAGAGTAGAGAGGGATTAAAATACCTACCAGGTTTTATTGCTTTCTGTGCTGGGGGATTCACACCCTCTTTTTGTCTTGTCTACCGATATCACTGAGAGTGAAAGCGAAAGAAAATCCAAAACTTTGGATTGTCACCAGAACAGTAATAGAGGGGAAATCTTCCAATGGGGATACAAGTTCTGGTGACAATCAAAGAGTCTATCACTTCGGAGGGATTTTCTCTCACTTCCTGTTTTGGCTATGGGACAGGAAGTGAAGGGAAATCTCTTCAATGGAACACAGATTGCAAAAACATCATATGGGGGTTTAATCCTCTATTACTCTATCAAATATGAAAAAAAAATTCCTTTAGTTCTAATTTAAGTGGCAAATATTCCAGTCTCATTAAAAAGAAAACTAAAAATCTTTTTTCTGCAATGGAGGTGAGTTCAATTGCCTGGATATATCTGGAAAAAAAAAGAGCGAGAAAGCAATGTTCAGGCCCAAGCAAGTTATCTGGAGTATAATATAATGCTATTACCCAGTATGGAAGACAAGATTACAATACAGTACGCGGCATGAGACTCACACCTGGAGAGATAATAGAGAGCTCTAATGGGGAAACAGACTGAATGTCTTCTCTAAAGCAGATGGTCAGAGTCTTTATAGATAAATCTTCAGAGCTGCAAATGATATAATTACGGGGGAATTATGGAATCTAACATTATGACCATGAAAAGGTTCTACATGAATCGTATCACCGTGGGTTTCTATGAACCTCTCTGAGAATTACCTGGAGCGAAGTGCTTTTACTATCCCCCTAGACTAATTGAGCAGTTAACCCTTGCAATGTAGGTGCAGAACCACTGCAAGGGAGTATTTGTAGGTTTTCTGGATTTGGCTTTAACATCTTCCCATGACTCGGTCATTGTGGTCACAGTTACTTTATTAGGTGACTATAGAATGCAAATGATATATTCAATACTATTAGGACTTCATAGAAAAAGTTCTATTCACCTGTAGTCTATATAGTGTTTGTTAAAGTAGCAACGTAAACCCGAGCACAGTTGCACACTGCCATTCATGCCTTTGAGTGGTTGTACTCACCAGTTGGACTTCCTGGGCACCAAAATTCATATTGGGCACAGGTACCCAAGTGCAAGAGCTGTGATTCTAAAGGCAATTCTTTTTTTTTTTTTCTTTTTTTTTTTAATAATAAATATGTTATACTTACCTGCTCTGTGCAATGGTTTTGCACAGAGCAGACTCAAACCTTCCCTTCAAGGGTCCCCTATCAGGGCTCCAAGCAAATTCCCCCTGCTGAGTGCACCCTTAAAAAGCTGCTTGCTACAATATGAAAGCGTTCAAGTGGGCTAGCTCTGAGCCAGCTCTATGTGTTCACTGGCACAGAGAGCGTTGCTCCTTTGTGCCCCTGCTCTCTCCTCACTTATTGTGATTGACAGCAGCAGGAGCCAATGGCTCGCTCTGCTGCCTCAGAGCTAATGAGAAGAGGAGAAAGCCAAGAGAAGCAACTGCTCTCATGCACATTGCTGGATCTAAGATCAGGATCTAATAAATGGGGGGCTGGGAGGGGGAGCTGCAAACAGAATGTTTTTTGCCCTAATGCAGAGAATGCATTAAGGTAAAAGAAAAATTCTGCCTCTGGCCAACCATGTAACCTACACATATGGCAGCATCAAGGTGGGCTTTAACACCCACACATCGTGCATATGCATCAATGGGCACCTGAGGTTTCTGTGCTGAGATCCCCACACTGTGTACTCCCAGCACAGAGAGCAAACTGTCAAAGTCAACTTTTGGTCCCCACTAATGATTAGTAACTAGTGGTGCTAGCTCCCGATCATGTGATCACTGGGACAGCCAATCACAGTAGTCAAATAATCATCGATGCTTCCCACCCCTTGGGTTTACAGACCCTATTAATGAAATGCTGGGGAAAGGCGGGAAGGATTATCAGTGCCATTTACTGGAAACATCTGAATCAGTAATAAGGAGTGTAGACATGCTGATGGCCCGGTGTACTGGTCAGGTGTCCACAAACGTTTGGCCATTTGGTTACCACTTGTTGAACATGCCTGTTCATACTTGAGGTATTCATTTCAGTTGGGACTTGCAGCACAACTGTTTTGCAACATCTAATATTTCTAAACGTTTTATGAGCACGGATCATGAATGAATTGTTACACCTGAAATGTTCACCTATTCTAGTTACATCAGCATTCCATTAGGATGAATACAAATATTTCATCCCACACCACAAGCATCTGTCAATTAAAGTACAATAGAACAAAAATAAAATACAGAAATGTTTGCTAAAACATGCAAGGGCTGACAAGTGGTTTTATGGTGCAAGCCTTAATTCTGTGTAAGTTAGAACAAGTACCCATAGCATATGCATTGGAAGTTCATGTTAAAGGAGAACCCAACTAAACCCATATACTGGATATAAAATCAAAACTGGCAGCGTTCTACTAATTGATGTTTCAGCAAAAAAAGTCTGCTCATATTTTTGAGGAGAGGAGAAGAACTTCCACTTCTGATCCCCTAGGCCATGGGTGTCAAACTGGCGGCCCTCCAGCTGTTGCAGAACTACAAGTCCCATGAGCCATTGCAAGACTGACAGTTACAACCATGACTTCCACAGGCAGAGGCATGATGGGACTTCGCAACAGCTGGAGGGCTGCCAGTTTGACACCCCTGTCCTAGGCAGTCGGAGCGAAAGAGAGAGTGGGTGCCTGCCAAAATCAGGTACCTGCTCCCAAAAAGTGCCAATTCTTAACAGGGAACAGGGGAAGAGTCCTTAAAGCAGAAAGCAGAACTTCCCCTTTTTGGTGGAGCTTCGCTTTAAGGATAGTGATCATATGAAGCCATTTATTATCACATAGTTGTTTGGCTCCTTTTTAAATCATACTGATAACAGAAATCACCCAGATGGCCCTGATCAAACATTTGTCAATGGCAACCGCTTCCCCTCCGCCCTATAGCAGAAGTACTGCTACAGGGTGGCAGGGCTGCACAAAATCACGTATATATACGTGATTTTGTATTCAGGGTAGGGGTATATATATATACAGCCATTGGCAGCTACAACTCTCTATCACTGGGTCTCGGCCGTAGACTCCCTCCGGCACCGAGGAACACTGACAGGGGAGAGGTCTGTATGTAAACAATACAGATCTCTCCCATGTCAGCACTAGCATGCTGCTTTGTATTGCTCTGCATAGCAGAGCAATACAAAGCAGAATTCTTACATAGTAAAGCGCACAAAGCACACATAGTAAAACACACTCACACAGCACACAGTTAACCCTTTGATCGCTCCAGATGTTAACCCCTTCCTGTGGTAAACACAAAATAATACTCCTGCGCTTGGGGGTGAACTCGATGTAGCTATGGATCCATATGGGAGATCCTGGATGTTGCACGCCTTGCTGCCCTCAAAGGACCTGGAAAGTCCAGAACACTAGATGCAAAGAAACAAACCTGTTACAGGCACTGTGCACGCAGGCTCTAAGGAAGGGGCTAGTCCCCGAAATGCGTTAGCCTATTGGAGGTCCAGTGTTCCTGTGGGGATACCATATCAGGCGGACTGGACATTGCTGTTTCTTATGATGAGCTTTTATACTATTGTTGTTTGTGAGTATATCACTATCTGCTACTTTTGTCATTTAGGTACTGCACTAGGCCGGTGCGCCCTCTGTTTGTTTCTTTGCATGTAGTTAACCCCTTCCTGCCCAGTGTCATTAGTACAGTGTCAGTGCTTTTTATAGTTAGTCCCCCCCCCCCCCCCCCCCCCCCCCCCAGCTTCAGAATGCCAGCCACAGTCCATCTATAGGTCGCTGATTGCCACCATTACTACTATGAAAAAAAAAATTCCAGTATATATACCGCCATTTGTAGACGCCATAACTTTCTTGTAAACCAATTAATTTACAGATATTGGAATTTTTTTTAGCAAAGACATATAGCAGAATACATTTTGGCCTAAATTTATGATGAATATTGATTTTTAACATTTTTTTACTGAATATGTTTTATAGCAAAAAATCGAAAATATTGTTTTTTTTTTCAAAATTGTCAGTCTTTTTTTTTTTATAGCACAAAAAAAAAAATGCAGAGGCGATCAAATGCATTTGGGAGAGAGCTCCATTTGTGGGAAAAAAAGAACATAAATTTCATTTTGGTGCAGAATTGCATGACTGCGCAGTTGTCAGTTAAATTAATACAGGGCCGTATCGCAAAAAATGGCCTGGTCAGGATAGGGGGGTAAATCCAGAGGGCAAGTGGTTAAAGCTTAATTTTGCACATCTGTAGCTTTTTAAATTACCATTACTGTTTGCATATAATCAATGAGATTGTTAGCTTGCACATGGCTGCACTTAACCATGGCTAGACACTTAGCCATGAGGAAACAGAAAAGAACTGTCGAAAGGCCTGTATAACAAGGTAATTGAACTTTCTAAAGCTGGAAAAGGATATAAAAAGATATCCAAAGCCTTGCATATGCCAGTCAGTACTGCACAATCATTTATTGAGATACAAAGAAAAACCCACAGGGAAGCTCAGGAGAAATACAGTCGGATGCCCACTGCGCATGCACAAATCGCATTGTGCTCCTTGAAACAAACCACACCATCTTTTTCCAGAGCAGCCTGTATTTCTCTTGTGGTTACATGAGGGTTTTTCTTTGTATCCCAAACAATTCTTCTGGCAGTTGTGGCTACAATGTTTCTTGGTTTATCTGACCTTCAATTGGTATCAAGATATCCACTGACCATTTGGAAACTCGGGCACTGCCCGGGGGCCGGGGTCAGTAGGGGGCCCCATGAGATGACCCTGTTACCTTTTTCATAGGCTTTTTTGAGTTTGGGCAAGGACACAGGGACTTATGATCCCCTATTGCCCGGGGGCCCCATGAGTTGTCAGTCTGCCCCTGTCCCTGAAGTTTCCATTTCTTAATACATGATTGAACAGTGCTGACTGGCATATGCAAGGCTTTGGATATCTTTTTATATCCTTTTCCATCTTTATAAAGTTCCATTACCTTGTTACATAGGCCAGTTATTTTCTGCTCCCCATGGCTAAATGTCCATAATTTCTCTAATAGAGTAATCCCTAGGTTCTGTATCTCCATTTAGTACCCAGCATGCATTAGGTTTTCTCATTGAGGTATTTCAGAAAACTATACTGCATTTTGGTTGCTAGCTGGAGATAAAGATCATAGGGATCACTCCATTAGATGAATGATGGTCAAAATTTGTGCAGTATGCATGAATGGG